AGCGCAAGAATCAAGTCAAAGATTTGAAAAGTGAAGAAGCAAAAAACACCCAACCGGAAAAGCAAAATGAAAAAAGAACCCAAAAATACGAAGATAGTGTAAGGAGCCTCTGGGACAGCTTCAAACGTACCAACATCAGAATTATAGGGGTACCAGAAGATGAGCGAGAGCAAGATATTGAAAACCTATTTGAAGAAATAATGACAGAAAACTTCCCCCACCTGGTGAAAGAAATAGACTTACAGGTCCAGGAAGCGCAGAGAACCCCAAACAAAAGGAATCCAAAGAGGACCACACCAAGACACATCATAATTAAAATGCCAAGAGCAAAAGACAAAGAGAGAATCTTAAAAGCAGCAAGAGAAAGAGACTCAGTTACCTACAAGGGAATACCCATACGACTGTCAGCTGATTTCTCAACAGAAACTTTGCAGGCCAGAAGGGAGTGGCAAGAAATATTCAAAGTGATGAATACCAAGAACCTACAACCAAGATTACTTTATCCAGCAAAGCTATCATTCAGAATTGAAGGTCAGATAAAGAGCTTCACAGATAAGGAAAAGCTAAAGGAGTTCATCACCACCAAACCAGTATTATATGAAATGCTGAAAGGTATCCTTTAAGAAGGGGAAGAAGAAGAAAAAGGTAAAGATACAAATTATGAACAACAAATATGCATCTATCAACAAATGAATCTAAGAATCAAGTGAATAAATAACCTGATGTACAGAATGAACTGGTGATTATAATAGAATCAGGGACATAGAAAGGGAACGGACTGACTATTCTTGGGGGGAAAAGGGGTGTGGGAGATGCGGGAAGAGACTGGACAAAAATCGTGCACCTATGGATGAACACAGTGGGTGGAGAGTGAGGGCGGAGGGTGGGGTGGGAGCTGGAAGGAGGGGAGTTGTGGGGGGAAAAAAGAGGTATAGTAATCTCTAAAAAGTGGGTCTAAGTTATTGAAAGTTGTTTTTGAATAAATTAACTTGTTAAGTTTTGTTCAAGTCTTTCTATAAAAATAAAAAAAATACATATTCTGGAAACCTACTAACTGACAAAAAAGCCATCTCCAGCCAATTTACTTCTTTCAAAATTAAAAAGCTACATATTTTTTTCTTTTCTAAAAATGGAACATGTTAGCACAGATTTATATTTAGGCATAAGAACCAGAACCATTTCCAAGGACAAGTTAGTTAAGACTCCCTAGTTTCTAAATCTGAATTCTTTCTTCATATATTTTCAGATGATTTTTTTTAATGAAAGCATAGGTTATGAATTTTCTACCAAATGTGGTTTATATACTTATCATAACCTTTGCTGTATAGAGTATGTCTCTTATCAACCCTGCAGTGCAATTTCATATTTGATATCCCAGTGATCCCAAAATTATTTAGAAAAATTTTAATTTCTGTTAGAATTTTATCCCACATTTATTAAATGGATTTAGGCAAGCAAAGAAAGGCTAAATTGTTTCTACTCTTTAATATTTATTTAACTTTCACTTAAAGACTACAGTATATATTTAATACTCATTGAACTTTCATTTAAACACTACATTTTATGTTTTTCACTTTCATAGGCACTTAATTTATATAATGTTTAAGTAATATTGTAGATGTGCATTCATAAATATTCAACATATACTCACTCAAGCTTTTTGAAAGTGATAGTCAAATTTCCTAAAATTATTTGTTGGCCTATTTGATCTATTTCGAAAGAACTAAGTTAAAGTCCCTCAGTTGACTTTTAAAATACAAAATAACATACTTCTAGAAGTTTTAGCTTTATAGATTCTATTGCTATGTTGTTTTGGATCATAAAAGTTTGATGACAACTGTATTTGTTCTCAGCATGCTGTACCTTTCATCCAGGGGTGATATGTAAAATATTTAACAAACAGTACAGCACAGTTATCTGTGAAAAAATTGAGATTTTACTGTATGCAAGCTAATGAATTAGCCTACCATTGTTTTACAGATACTGGCCCAAGACAGGAAACTCCTGGGTCAAAGACAAAGGATGTTGTTATTCACAACACAGAAGGCAGCATTAGCATCACGTTCCCCTGGGTTCTCCTTGCCAAGTCCCACAGGAGCGACACAAGGTGGCTCAAAGAGATGCCATACGTGCAGGCATTTGTGTCACAGCTGAAGATTTCTGGAGTTTAGGAAATGCCAATATTTTTAAAGGGGTTACTAGCACATACATCTACCCAAACTGCATCCCAGAGGAAGGCAATATATGTAGTACCCCGATTAGAAAACAAACCTCCCTCTGTGCCAGAGAGATACTTTACCTTTTTTTTAAACACAGCGCTTCTTTCTTACTAGTGATGACCTGTAATTTAGCGTATCCGCACCTATATTTGCTTATCCCCTCAAGAATTAATACTAAATATATGATCGTTTCCCCTACTAAAATAGGACTATACACAAGGTTTTAATTTCCCTTCCCTGCCAACCTCCTAAATTTTACTAAGGTTAGATTCCTGATACTTTCAGTAGTCCAGCTCTTGAATTTTGAATATCTTTTCCAACAACTACATTAAGATTCACAATCTCCTATGAATTTAATCATATTCTTACTAGCTTCAGTATTCACTGCTGATTCTTCCACTCCACTTCTATCTTCTGTATTATGATTCTTTTTTCGTTTGGGTAGAGTATGTCTTCAAGTTCTAGTAAAGCTGATGAGCACAGAGATCTCAGACCCGTAAAACAACAGGTGTGTGTGTGTTTTGTCCTATGTGAGTTGTCTCACTCACCTATTGCTAGGGAGCAGCCCACCACAGAACCTCAGTGCACACAGCAATTAGCACTTGTTCCCACTCACTGGCCTTCAGCCGGGTGGCTCTGCTGCACGCTTCCGGTCTCATCCTGGGGAGAGGCTCAAGGAACAGAAGCTACCACGGCACGTTCTTCTCAGGATGGCAGTCAGAAGAATTTAGGGGGCCATTTCAAACCTCTACTCATATAACATGCAAGTAAAAAAGCCAAGCTTGCTCTAACCAGTTTGGCTCAGTGGATAGAGCATCGGACTGCGAACTGATAGGTTCCAGGTTCTATTCCGGACAAGGGCATGTACCTTGGTTGCGGGCACATCCCCAGCAGGGGGTGTGCAGGAGGCAGCTCATCAATGTTTCTCTCTCATTGATGTTTCTAACTCTCTATCCTTCTCCCTTCCTCTCTGTAAAAAATCAATAAAATACATATATTTTTTAAAAAGCCAAGCTTAAGTGAAGGGGCAAGAAAGTAAACTCTGCCCGGACTGAGCAAGGAGGGCGAGCATTTGCTGGACAAGGATCTAAACCGTGTCACTCGTCCACAATACATGACCGAGTGAACACTCACTCCATGGCTCACAGCCCCTCTCCCTTCTGGGTCCTCAATATTTGAGTATCAAAGCAAGTAAAGCCAACTGCAGCAAATGCCCCTTTGGTTTGTCGACATGCTTAGTACAAAAGTCAGGAGTCGCACGTGCAGAATTCATGGATACATGTGAAGGGCCTTCATTTTCTCTCCCGATGGAACACCTCATCACATACCCACCATGCTCCGAAGCCCTGCTACTCTGAAACTACAGCCTTACTTAAAAAAATAAAAAAAAATAAAAAATAATTTAAAAAACCCTTTTGGCTAAAATTCATTGACAGGTTACTTTCTAAGGCAGACTCATTCCTTCCACTCCATGTATTGAATCAAGGGCTAGTTAGCGTTAACATACTTTTCTCCTTATCTGGTCCTGTCTGCTGCAGAACAGCTCGAAATTCCTCAAAATCTCAGGCTACTCACTGGCTTCCTTCCACATTTTCTAGCACTGTTGTCAGTTGTTGTTGTTTTTAGTTTTTATGTATGTGTTGGCCTTTTCTGGGGACGAAAGGGGACTCTATAATAAATCTGACAACTCCAGTGACTAAAAGTAACCTCCCAGGGTGGTCTGATCATAAATTCCTCACTGGGCAGAGGATGGTGGGTAGTCATGCCCCAGGCCTGTCACTTCTTTAGTGAAAGGTCTGAACCAAGCCCTGTCATTATTCTTGTGCATCTTGGTTAACACCTTCTGAAATGCCAAGAATACCCCTGGAAGGTATAACCAACCTCAAGAGAACACAAAAACTTAACTATCCCGTAATCCTGTCCTTGCCTGGCTTTCTCCCACCTCTATGTATTTTTCCATAGATTCCCGCCCTAACTTCAAATGCAAATAAGAGGAACTGCAAAACTGTCATTCTCGAGGGCATCTGAGATATGGCTTCCTGGCAATTGTCATCAGTTTTGGCTCAAATGAGCTCATAAAAATTCTCTACATGTTTGAACGTTTCTTACGTTGACAGTAGAAATAACAGCACAATTGTGATTTTCTTTTTTTAAAAAAAATACTTTTTCTTTTCTGCTTCACTTCACATCTGTTCTGATTTCTCTCTCTGGGCCTGCAGGTCTTATACAGAGTGCTCCAGGCTACTGTGGCTCCCTAATCTGGATGCACACCAGATTCACTTGGGTGGTGGGGAAGTTTACAATTCCTACTGCCTATTGAATCAGAAACCCTGGAGGAGGTGCTGCTCCGGCATTAGTACTGATGTAGCAACTCCCTC